AGTCTCCCATGGGAACAATCCCAGCCATCCGCAGGCCCTAATCCAGGGACTTTCCACAACAGTGAACATGACCTTTGTGTCTCGGCTTCTAACATAAAAAGGAAGGTGCTGGACTAGCCTACCAAGAAGACTTGTAGTGCAAAGATGTGTGTTGGGTTAGAAAGAGCCAGTGTCACTCAGATGAGACAACTCAGGCTCTAAGTCCAATGGACAGACTGTTGTACATCTCATCTGGGAGAGAAGTAGGAGAAAGAGAACTTGCCATGATCACAGCCATGTGTCCTGTCTATGGCTGACTATCTCCTGCCACAGGATTTCAGCATTTTAGCTTTATGTCTCTCTGGGGACAACTGAGGCTTTTTTAAAGTGTGATATTTGTGAAAGATGATTTCCTGGTGACCATGGAACCTGCAGGATATTATCTTCACATACTCTTTGAGTCCTTCAGTCCTCGCTCCAGGGCAGAGCGACACTAAGATACTTAGAGGTGACAAGCAAGGTTAACCCACCACTGTCTCTCTCTACCCTGGGAGATGATGGGGAAGGTGCAGGAAGCCTTAACTCTGTAGATGAAAAGGAAGGCGTGAGGGAGGGAGGAGGGAGGGGCATGGGAGCAGCGGGGCGTGTGAAGAAAGTGCTCTTTCTGGTTTCCAGCATGGTCTTCTAGAAAGGAGAGCCCAAGTGCCTGCCTGGGAGATGATGTCAAAGCCAGGCAGGCATGGCCAAAAGTAATAGCAGGTGGAATACGGGGATGCCAACCAAAGAAGAGCCTTGGGAGGGGCTGTGGCTGTATGCTCAGCTGGCCGAGGGCGTGGCTAGAATGTATGCAACTCTGAGTTTGCTCTCCAGCCCCACAAAAGCAGACATGGTCACACAGCTTGTAAAAGGATCTGAAGCTCAAGGTTACCCTCCGCTACACAGAGAGTTCTGGGCCAGCCTGAGCTAGAGACCTTGCCTATAAATAAATAATATAAAAATGAAAGGAGTCTAGGGAAAGATAAAGGTATCCAACCTTGGACCAGAAGCTGAGAGGGGACAGGTTTAAATCTGAAGGTACCCTAAACTATGTATAGACTTAAGCATGGTGAGAAAAATAGTGCAGTCTATGTACATTGTGCCAGGAGAAGTTAGGGGGCAAGGCTAGAATGCCAGGGTTCCTTGGGGTTCATCAGTATAAGAACTCATAGGGAAACCTTCCGCATATAGAACGCTGGTCAATTCGAGAAGAAATCCCCAGAAAAAGCCACATCCCTATATACCATATTCTTACAGTAGTGAGTCCATAGAAAGAGCAGGCTCCACCAGGCATCCATTGATTGGTCTGCACTGGATGGCACACATTCCTGTCCCATAGGCTGGTGACTGACTGGGAAACCCATAGATGCAGCATGGGGATGGAGCTACAACCCTCAAGGACATAAATATCCTCACGGAGACCCTCCTACATGGCTCTGAGAGCTTGCTGCCACCCACAGCTTGAGCTAAATGTGCTAGGCTTTCTAACAACCATTAACTCACCCACCCCACGGGGTGTGATAATTCCTGCCAAATAAATGTGCCACGTGGGTTTCACTTATTTGAATGACTCTCCAGATGGATATGAAGACAAAACAAGACATTGGCTCCAGATTTTTATACACGCTCACAAAATGGCATGAACTCGAGGCTGAAGATGTAGCTCAGTGTTGGTACAGCACTTGCCAGGCATGCAGGAGGCCCTGGGTTTGACCCAGCACTACATAACTGGGCATTATAGCCTGTGCCTCTAATCCCAGAATTCAAGAATTGGAAGCAAGAGGATTATGGGTTTAAAGTCACCTTCAGTTACTCTGGGGATTCACGAGACTGTCCCAAAATACAAAACAGTAAAGTATTATCGATATAAATTTCTAGACAATAGTAGAAAGGCTAACTCAAATCCTTCAGAGGATAAAAAGGATACCCATTAAGAGCTTGGACAGGTATAGGCTTGGCCTATACCTTCAGAGGCCACTATAGAGGTAAAGGTGACTAGTTCCCAAATCAGGAGCCCTTTCCCTTAATACCAGCTCTGTAAGCATATAAGCACCTGAGTGAGGAAAGGACAATGGGAAAAGGATACACAGCTGATAGCAAGGCATCTCTGCCATTAAAGACCTGGCATTGGGAAGGTAACGCAGGACCCACATCCTGAAAACCCAGCACAGTATCAATGGAAACTTTAAAATCCAACCCCAAGCATAGGCATTGAAAGAATGGCCACATACAATACAGAGAACTCAGGAAAGCTTAATTCAGCGTGGGTCTGGAAGGTAGGGGAATGACTTGCAAGACCATAGGATCTTTTATATGATGACCTTGTTTCAAGGTCAAATTACAAGCCTGAGACTCTATTTCATCTGCCAAGTTGGGATTGATGTCTCCAGCCCTTACTCAGTTCCTTGGAAAAGCAGGTCTCAGTAAAAGCCACATGCTATTATTATCCTCAGGAGTAAAGCCAAGAACGGAGCACTGAGTTCCCACCCTTAGCTCCAAGCAGAACCCAAGCATGCAGGGAGACAGACTTTAGCCAAAAGCCAGGCCCAGCCAATTCCCAGGGCGTTGGTGGGAAAGCTTTTAATTTGATGGCACCAGCTTTGTGGGGGCCCAGAGACTACCCATCAGCTGACAGTTGCCAAACCATATCACAGTGGAGCCCCACACTTGGCATACACAGGCTGCCAAAGGGCATCTGAAGCTTCGTAAATTACATGTGTGAGAGGGGATCACCCCCTCAAGGCGCTCCTTTGGGTTCAAAGCCCAGCCCTTGCTGATTTGCTGTTTCATGACTTCTCAGACTCTGTAGGATCGCATCACCAGTGCCTGAACATAGATTTGCCAGGCTTCGTATGTATGCATGTGTGCAGGCTCCCACAAGCCCCAGACCTTGGATGCTGCAACCAGTACTTCAGGTGAAATGCAGAAAATACCTAGTAAATGCTGCTTGACTAAACACTATAACCTTCCCTTTTCTCTGCACCAGACAGCCAAGAGCCTTTTCTGAAATCATCTATGTCAAGATGTACTTTGAAGTTCCAGATAAGATATTTGGACACTGGGCAGAAATCCCCACCCAGGGGACAGAAGTCGATTTCCTAGGGGCTGTGGGAACTGAGCTATAAGAAAGGTCTTTGAGGGTCTTTTTTCAGGTGTCCAGACACTATAAGAAGCCAGAAATGCTTTTGTTTGTCTCCAGCCACTGCAGCCCCAATTCAGTCCTCTTTACCCAGCATGGTAGTCCCTCCTCCATGTCACCTGTGGTAAGGCTCCTATCTATTAGAATGTGCTTGCGGGGGTGTAGGGTTAAGATTGCCTGACTCTTTACTAAGGAAGTGTTTAAAGGAAAATAATACCACACACAGACACAGACACAGACACAGGCACAGACACAGACACAGGCACAGA